ATTGAGATTAATGGTAAGAATTTCATTCTCTTATTTTAATTCATGAATAATGATTAGTTTGAGTAGAATGATTATTTGTGTTGAATTCAATATGCATAGCTAATTCATTTCGCTAGGGATTGGGGAATGATTGTTCTTGTTTAATTCGCATCTCTCGAGCTTGAAATTGTTCTCTCTTATGTGAGTTGTTTCTATTAGGGATTGATAAATTCTTGCTTGATTAATTGATATAATCGAAGAGTGACACTTCGATCTTGCAGTTGGTAACAATTGAATGTTGATTAGTTGAGTTAGGGTTTCGTTGATTCTATGTGATTAGTCGATTAACACTCTTCTAGTTAAATTAGCTACTTTTTGAACTGAAAGGGGAAAAGTCGTAGACTTAGGCTCACATGAGGTAGACGATGTCGTAATTGACTAATCTACGTGTTTTAGATTGAAATACGCACTTGTTAATGACCCGTCCCTTGTTACGAAAAGTTATTGGGATTGGGATAATTGGCCTGTGTCGTATGCTCGAACTTGTTCGTCTATGTTCAATTTCTTGTTACGAAGAGTTATTGGGAGCGAACCGCTAGATGTCTAAGCGAGAGTGTCAATTTTGAACCGAACAATTGATTGCCCGGTTTTGCTAGAACTTGAATTAATTATCCCCGACTCTCTAGCTTCTTTTTCATTGTTTCGTTTATCTTCTTAGGTAGATTATTATTTTTATGTTATTTCTTAGCTGATAATTCATCCATCCTTATTTGATGAGTAGTTTAAGATTTCTTTCTTTTTATGTGTTATCGATATCAGAACTAAATTCCGAACAACCTTCCTCGTGAGATCGACCTGGGGAACGAATCTTTAGATTCGGTACTCGGTAAAAATAAAAATAATTTGCTACAACAAATTTGACGCCGTTGCCGGGGAAGGCAAGTAGGATATTTGGTTTTGATATTGATTTTATTTTCTGTGTTTCTCTTATTTTCGTGATTTTCGTATTTTTGTTCTCTCTTTTGTGCATATTTGTTTTGCTTTTTGTCTTGCTTGTTTTTGTTTTCTTTTTCTTTTCTTTTCGTGGCTACGCGTGGTTGTTCTATTTTGGTGTGC